CATATATGTGTATTTGGGTACTTTTGTAGTTTTCTCAAAAAGGCTAAATTTTTCTTTCAAATTTAGGTTAGAAGAAGAAGAAAAATTTTTAAATGCTGAAAGTTACTATAAGAAAGCTTTGGCTTTGGATGAGACATTTAAAGATGCAGAGGATGCTTTGCAGAAACTTCATAAATATATGCAGGTGATTCTTTATTTCCTCTTAGAAATTTAGTGATATTTAAAATTAATGCCAAAATTTAATTTCTTTCTAGGGAAAACTATGCTAGATTACTTAAGTGAGGCAATATGAGAAGTTTCTTTGTAGTTAACAGCTTTTCCTAATTGAGTTTGACATTGCTTGGTAGTGCCTCTTCTTTTTTATGTTTGTACTCAAAAGTAAAAATACCCCTATGAGAAAATTCCTATTGCCTAAATTTGGTACTTGGTTTTGAGAACTATTCTGGTAGTGAGCTTACCTGGTGGCTATAAAATTATTAGTGTTGCTATAATTAAGCTAATTATAAAAACCTTTTTGAGACATATATTAAGCTGTCTTTTCCTGTAATACTGATGATGATGTTTTCTCATGCATTTTCTTCTGAATTGGACCATTGCTGCTGTGTCTGTGACATCTGGTGCTGCTCATCCCCATCCACAAACTGGAAAATGATTTCTTATGTAATCATGCATTCAACTGGGCTGTGCTATTTTTAAAATGGTTTGTATTTGAACATGGTGATTCCCCCCTCATTTCACTTCAATGAAATGTGTTTATTTGAATTTTATTTGTAAAATTTGTGTCCTGTTTAAATTTTCAATTTTTTCAAATAATTTTTCATATACTTTATTTTTGGCCTTTCTTGCACTCTGGGTTATGGGTACCACTGCAATGGCATCCCCTTTTTTCATGGGATATCAACTGCAATATGGTCCTCAATACTGTTCTGGCCATTTTCAATGATTAATGCCAAACATCTGTATGATTAATTTTTTTATGTTAAAAAAATACTTGTTCAACACTGCCTATATGGTGTTTTGGTTTTACTAAATTGGGTTTCTGGTTGGGGTGGTCTTTTGAATACTGGGTTTTATATATTCTGCTATTTTTAACGTGTGGTTTTTTTCGATATCTGGGTTCTAAAAGAAATCTTTGGAATTAAGAGAAAAACAAGCTGAAAAGGAAGAAAAGCAGAAAACAAAGAAAATAGAAACAAGTGCAGAAAAGTTGCGTAAGCTCTTAAAAGAGGAGAAAAGGTAAACTATGATATTCAGTACTTTTTAACCTAAGGCAACTACTGAGTTGAACCTAAAGTGCCATTGAAAGGTAAAGTAAGTAAAAAAAATAAAAGCATCTCAATGTGGTAATCAATGACTGATAAGAATTTTTAGCAAGTATGTGTTCCACACATTTTTGTATTAAAAAGATAATAAAGTAAAATGGAATGTAAGGCTAGAATTCTGCCAAAAGGAAAAATTATCTTAGAATTAAAATATAGAATAAGTTATTTTAATTGACTGTAGTTTTGGAAGGAAATGTGTTAGAACTAGAGCAGTGATTCCTAATTAGGAGTGGTTTTGTTCCCCAGGGGATGTTGGCAATGTCTGGAGATATTTCTGGTTGTCATAACTGGTGAGGTGCTACTAGCGTCTAGTAAGTAAAGGTCAGGGATGCTCCTGCAATGCTCAGGATAGTTCCCACACCTACCCCCAGCAAACAATTATTTGGCCCAAAATATCAATAGTGCTGAGGTGGCAAAACCGTGAACTAGAGGTAGCCAGATACAAAACTTTAGTTCTCTTTATGTGTTCAGGTAGTTTTGAGTTTTATGGTGGTGGAAAAGTTTGCTGTGTCTTTCAGAAATGATGGATTTGCTTACAGTGATACCTGTTTTTGTAAGCATTTTTCCCTAAAAATCATGCTTGATAGTAAAATTAGATCTTGTAGTAACTGGGATTAAATGAAATCTTAAAGGAAACAAATAGAAACAAAATCTTTATGAATAACTTGGTAACATTTTTGTACTTAACATATCTGATGAGTCAACTACACTTTTTTAGGCTAAAGAAGAAAAGAAGAAAATCAACTTCTTCCTCTTCAAGTGTTTCGTCTGCTGATGAATCACTTTCTTCTTCAACATCCTCTTCCTCTTCTGGCTACAGAAGGCATAAGAAACGTAAGAGGAACCGTTCGGAGTCTTCTCGCAGTTCCAAAAGGCATTCATCTAGGGCATCCTCAAGTCAGAGAGATCAGAGTAGGAAAGATGAGTGCTACCCAGTTCCAACTAATACTTCAGCGTCATTTCTTAACCATAAACAAGAAGTGGAAAAACTACTCGAAAAGCAGGATAGGTTACAGTATCAAAAGACACAGGTAAAAGAGAAAGATAGATGCCCTTTCTCTTCATCTTCAGTTGAAATACCGGATGATCTTGGAGGTAGGTCTGAAGAGCCAAGAGATTTTTATAATAGCTATAAAACCCAGCCATGTAGTAGCAAAACAGAAAAGCCATATAAATCAGAAAGACATTTTTCCAGTAGAAGAAATTCCTCAGAATCTTTCTGTAGGAATTCAGAGGACAAGGTAAAAACTTACGGTTATAGGAGATTTGAAAAGGATATAGAGGGAAGAAAAGAGCACTATAGAAGGTGGGAGCCAGGTTCTGTGAGATATACCACTTCACCAGGAAGCTCAGACAACTCTTGGAAGTCAGTTGAAAAATACAAAAAATGTACTTACCCTGGATCACGTGATTTCAGTAGACATGAACAAAGGTATCGATTAAATACAAATCAAGGAGAATATGAAAGAGAGGACAATTATGGGGAGGATATCAAAACAGAGATTCCAGAAAAAGATGGACTAAATAGGAAAGAACACTCAGAAAGCAGAGTTAAAAAAAATTTACCTCAAAATTTACTCAATATATTTAACCAGATAGCAGAATTTGAGAAAGAAAAAGGAAGTAAGCCAAAAACTTAATATGTCAAGGAAATCAGCACCATTATACTACATGCTATTAATTAAAATTTTGGAATGTTTTGTTCATAACAGTCCAATGTAAAAATCTCTGCTCTTAAAATTATTTGTAGAGATTACAGAAAGCAAATGTTTTTTAGCTTTTCTCAAATTTGATTCGTTTCAGTTGTAGGTTCCTTTGTCACAGCTTGATTTTTAGGCCTTTCGTGTATATATGTACAGTATATTTCTTATTCTGACAATTTGAGTTTCTTCACCTAAAGATAATTCTCTGAAAGTATTGTTTCTTCCTTGTATTATGGTATACAAGAATTCCTGGAATCACCACATCCTACTGTTTGAGAGAGAATTAAATTTGTGCGTTGAACACTTAGACATCTTTGTCAAAAATTATTTCATTCTCTTCTGTTAAATTAAAAGCCCTCAACTTTTGAAAGATTATGTTTGAATGTTTCTTGATTATTTGTATCATTTGTTTAAATATTAAATTTTTTGCACAGTTTTATTTGAAATCATAGATTATGTGTCTTAATTTGCTTCTAAAGTCTATTTTAATTAAATGGTTTGTGAATGGTCATTGCCAGGTTAATAAGTACCTTAGAAATAAGATTGTGAAAGTTGAATAGGAGCCCATTTTTCTTATTTCTTCATTATTATTTTTATCTTACTGCTAGCATTATAGCCGTAAGATATTTTTTATCTTTAAATAGATTGACAAACCCTTAGAGACGTCTATATTCCAGGCAAGAATAGATCAGAATAGAAAAGAATCTTTTAGCAAAAAGTGATGGCAGAGAAGTACACTGTAAATCTCATTTTTTCTAGGGAAAGAAAATTAGGAAACTGTCCTAGTATTGCATATGTTCAATCGGGAAAGCACTAGCCATGTTTTTAAATAGCCTAGGTCTGGCCTGCATTTCTACTTTTCTTACTACCTCCTCTCCCTTGATGCTTCCCTGATTTCTCCTTTCTCAGGGTATGAATAAATAACTAAACCAAGCAGAGCCTGGTTTTACTTGGTATAAGTTCCAGCTTCTATAGCTGAAGAAGGAAGGGACTTGGATTGTAAAGATCCTCCCCGAATTACTGAAAACAGTATAGCATACTCTTTGGGAGACAGAGATAGGAATTGTAGGTGTTGGGTTTACGTCTAGAATCTTTCCAGTTTAAGATTCTAGAATCAGTAAATGATATGAATATTGTCACTCATGATGACACTGGATATGAATAGGGAGGTAGGTAGATGGGTATCCTTCTACAAAGGTCTAGGTAAGAGAGAATGATAGAGGAAAAAAGACTTTTATTCCCTATTCTGATTTGTAGTTCTTGCCAACAGTAAAATACTCACCCTTTAAATACTGAGTGTGTACTGTTTGTGTCATGCAAACTCCAGTGATGGGAGCCTAGTGAAAAATCTGAAATTTGTTTTGCAATGGAACAGGAAAAAGAACCTCTGGTTAAGAGCAATAAATAATGGCAGTAGAAATGGGCCATCACTCAAGCATTAGTGTTTGCACCAAGAAATTCATCTTAAAAGAGTCCTTAGTTCTACGTATTAATAGTTTTAGTATCAGCGTTACATAGTCCTACATAGTGGTGTTTTTAGAAAGTGGAAACTACCTCTTGGTAGGTCATAGGATAACCCTTGACCTTTTGGAATCCCAAACACAGCTTATCATTTTACACACACCATTTAAAGTTAGGATAGTACCTTAATCCTGCAGGCTGCCTGAATTGAAAAATTCCGTCTTTCCCGGGGCCTCTCCACTGGGAAATATTGAATTTAATCAGAGTACACAAACCACTTTAGGGATGTGTTCAGGAAGCCCATCACAGGAAAAATTGGGGATTTATATTGTCAAGAATTCTTAGTGACTGGTAACTTCAGTTTTTCTCAACATCAGTATGTCTGTAGTCTGACTGTGTCTTGGTTTCCATTAGTAGGTGAAGCACAGCTTTTGGACGTTCTGGTAACTCCAGCCTTGGAGATAGAGAGGTTGATCCCCTTCCTCACTATTTGGCCTTACTACACTGAATATAGAACTGTTATTTAAGGGTTAAAGGTAGACTTGTATGCTAGCCTAAGAACCTAACCATTCCATTCCACAAATACTGCGTTAGCCTCTGGAGGTTGACTCAATAATAGGTAAAAGTTGTTGTAGTGCAGTTACTACATGTCAAGCCCTGTGGATTTTGCATATATTAATCTAATTTTAGTAAATTTATGATGTGGGTAACTTTACAAACAAGGGAAAAAAGCATAGAAAAGTAACTGCCCAAAGTCACAGAGCTAAGACAACCCCTGCCTTCATAGAATACAGTGTTTAATATTCTTTCAAGTTCCAAGTAATTTACAAACTAATATAGGACAGAATAAGAATGGTGGTATTCTGTGAAGGAGGATTGAATATAGTAAAATAGAAAGGAAAAAAACTGGTGAACAAAGTGACTGAGGTTAGTCAGTTTTTAGATCCTATAAATCTCATGCATTTAGAGCAGTGTTTTAGCCAAAAATTATATTATCCAGCTTTCTCTAGCCATCTTATCCATTGGACTTTGGTATACCTTTTCCTGTTTCTAAAACAAAATAATAATCAGGAGAAACAGATTCATTACCACTAATTTTTAGAAGGAAATGAAAATGACAGTTTTAAATGACAATTGTAATGAATATTTTTTCCAAGATTTGAAGAAAGCAAATACATGGATTCTAATATATTTATTTGAAAACCCAGTTTTATAATATTCCATACTCTATTTCAAAAGTTCAAAGCATTGGGCACATGTTATATTATACATGTAAAGTATTAACTGGAAAAACTAATTCTAAATCTGGTGGTCTACCTCCGCTGTAAATTTATGAAATTCCTATTGCAAATCATACTTAGCTTGCTTTAAATTGTTTATTAAATCAAGAAAATTTTTAAAATATTTTATATGCTTGGTTGGCTGTATCTGTGAGGAAATCTTTAATGTGTATGATTTCTTTCAATGTCAGAATGGATTTAAGAAATTCTTAGAAATTTAAGCTGTACTTTTTATCAATATACAGTGTTTCTCCTTTCAGTTTTCTTTGAGGGGAGGAGGTAATGCTACTTTTTGGTTAAAAATTATACCAAAAAAAGGAATTGCCTTCAACAGATTTTTTCTCCCAAAAGTCTGGGGGAAAAAATTTTTTTTTTGAATAAAGAAAACCTAATTTGGGGATCTTCTAGGTTGAGAATTTCCATATTGTTATAAGTTCTTAATAGTACAATGAATCTTTAAAAATTTCTAACACTACAAACTTCAAAATTACAGTGAAAAACACCATTTCCCTATGTGGATGTAACATAGCTTTGTCAAGAATCTGCTATTGTTTTCCATCTGTATGAAGAAAATAGTAGGAAAAATAAAAAAATTACTTGATGTTTTTTTAACTATCAGTTTTTTCACTTCTCACTGGATAAAACCTGTTTGGTCATTTTGTATTCTAAAGTATAAAAGTTTTGTGTGTTTACAACTTGTTCAAAAGGTTAAAATATTTACTTGCTGCTTTTTTTACTAGAGCTACTACTAGCAGAAGTAGCTGGCCTAGAAGCACCGTCTGCTAGTGAAGAGGAGCCCGGGAAGTTGATCTGTAATACTTTAATTGAAGTCTGAGAAGCAGAAGTATTTGTACTCCTAGATGACCTAAAAGAAAAACCAGAATTATTATAAATTTATATTTAAGTGTAGACCCGCCCCATTGGGTAAAAGATACCATAATTCCATAAGTAATTAAAGAGATCGAACAGTACATATTAGTAATGTTAAAAAGTTTAAACCAAGACACATAAATCTTGCATGCTCTCATTTACGTGTGGGAGCTAAATATTAAAAGTTTAAAAGCAATTGATCTCATGGAGACAGAGTCTGTAGAATGATGGTTACCAGCAGCGAGGAAGGGGAGGATAAAGTGGGGATAGTTACTAGGTGCAAAAATATAGTTACATAGAATTAATATTTGATAGCACAACAAACTGACTATAATCAACAATAAATTAGGGTATACTTTAAAAAAAAATAAAAGTAGAACTGTAATGTTCCAAACACAAAAATATTAAATGCCTGAGGTGATGGATACCCCAATGACCCTGGTTTTATTAATTCATTGTATGCTTGTATCAAAACGTGTTATAAAGATATACAACTATTATGTACCCATAAAATTAACATTTACAAATTTTTAAGAAGTTTTTAAACTAGGACCATTAGGTATAAAAAAATTTTTTAAGGAAAAGAAAGATGACCATAGTTTCAAACCAGTAGAAACATAGCTCAATAAGTATGTTTCTATATGAGAAAAATGTTTGCAACTATAATCAGTATTTTTCAGTTGGAATCATTAAGCAATAAAGGCTTCCAAGACGATAACAAAAGAGAACGAAGGGAATTTGGTGCTGGCAAGAGTAATTAAAATGATAGCTTCTGTAACTTAAGCTAACGAGGAAAGCGAGAAGTGTACTGATTGACAGATAAACAGGTGAGGTCACTTGAAAAACAACGAACCACACACTCCTGAGATAAGTTTTTATAATATATTTTGTGCAAGTACAGGGATTATCTACTTACTATATTTATGCAGAAACAGTTTGTTTTACTTAATGAAAAACACTATCTTTTAGGACTTCCCTTTTCATGAAATCTCTAAATGGACTAAGGAAAAGTAATTTAGTAAGAAGCTGCTGAATGCAGGAGTTTGGGAATTCTAAAATCAGGATCATTATTAATTTTATTTTGTCAGCAAAACACAAGAGGGTTTATTTAAGCATCCCTGATGATAGAATTCTGGATAACAACTACAGAAGTAAAAAAGTTTCCATTTCAGCAAAATAAAGCATCATGAATAAAATCAAATTCTGATTTTCAAAAATTTCAGAATGTTTTAATCACAAAAATCTTACTCCATATGTCTATACATCTAAGCTTCCCTTTTATGGTTTAAAAACATTTCTCCCAACTTAGGTTTCACCCCCAAATGCTAGATGTAACCCACACATTTTACTTTATCTCTGCTTTATCCTACTGAAGGCTGATAGTCACAAAGCACTTGTGCCATAATAACAATGGTGATGCCAGCAGAAGCAGAAGGAAAGTCTTGCTCTGCTGGCTGTTTCTGCATTTTGTCTATGTGATACTGACCTAGTGAGGTGGCTGAAGGTGGCAGTGCACTGGCTGGTCCAACAGTTGTGCTGTGGAAGTGGCTTGATTCTCTTAGGCTAGCAGCTGTGAGAGTTAAGGAGCTATTTGACTTTCCCACTTACCTTACTGATAACAGTGAAGTCTGTGAAGGAGATCTAGAACTCCGATGACTGCCTTTAGTACTAGCTGTAGGTAGTTCCAACCCACCCTGGAGAAATTCAATGGCAATCATTAGTAATACTTACTGCATTTTAGAAAAAAATATTTTTAATTAGATTCCACTTTATGACAAATGCCATAAAATTTTTATTTTCATGAAAAGTGTTTAAAAAATATACTTCATATTACCTGTTGAAAGTATGTTTGAAGGACAGTACGGATGTCAGCATTTTCTTCTGTGACATCAAGTAGCATTTCATCAATGATCTTGTGAAACTCTTTCACCTCACGAAATTTGATGTCTTGTTCTTCTAGTGTTTCATCTTTTGTGTTTTTCAAAAGACGTATTTCTTTTATGAGTTTTGCACACTGTTGGTAAATAATAGTCAATTATATAAACCTATTTTTGGAACTTAATATTTTTTAATGGATGTAGGAAGATTTGAAGTCTCATTTGGGACTTTATAAAATGTAAATATGACAGATGAGTTTTTAAAATCTCAATACCTGTTTAGTTACTCTTTCTAATTTTGGCTTCTGCTCCTCAGTTTCTTTATTTAGTTGAAACCAATAAGCCTGCTTCTCTGATAATTTTTCTTTGATGTTATTTGCTACATGTTCAATAACTTCTAAAGTATTTTCCATGCTCTGTAGAAAATAAAGTATTAACATACTTACTGGTTAGAATCAAATTGACTTTTATAACTTGCCATTTGTCAAGCATTCATTTAATTTTAATTCGTTTATTTATGTATATTATATACATTCTATTGGTAGATAATAAGTAGAGTCATATCCCACATGACATTTTTAATGACAGACTACATATAGGATGGTGATCTCATGCATAAGATTATAATGAAGCTGAAAAATTCCTATCACCTAGCAACATTGTAACACAGTACAACATGTTACATGTTTGTGTCTAGCACATGCAGTTATGTATAATACTTAATACTTGATAATAAAATACTGTGCAACTGATTTATGTATTTACTATGTACTTTTTATCGTTATTTTAGAGTGTACTCCTTCTTATTTAAAAAAAGCAATAACTGTAAAACAGCCTCAGGCAGTTCCTTCAAGAGGTATTCCGGAAGAAGGCATTATTACCATAGGTGACAACAGCTCCATGTGTGTTATTGCCCCTGAAAACCTTACAGTGGGACAAGATATGGAGGTATAAGACAGTGATATTGATGATTCTGATCCTGTGTAGGCCTAGACTAATGTGTCTTAGTTTTTAGTAAGAAAGTTTTCAAAGTAAAAAAAAATTTAAAATAGAAAAAAAGCTTATAGGATAAAAGGAAAAAATATTTTTATACAGTTGCACCTTGTGTTTGTGTTTTAAGCTAAGTATTACAAAATAGTCACAGTCTTAAAAAATTAAAATTTTTATAATGTAAAAGTGTTACAGTAAGCTAAGGTTGTGTTTTTACTGAAGAAAAAAAATTTTAAGAAATTTAGTGTAGCCTAAGTATATAGTGTTTATAAAGTTTATAGTAGTCAGTAGTGTATAGTAGTGTCCTAGAGCTTCACATTCTCTCACCACTGACTCACCAGAGCAACTTCTAGTCCCGCAAGCTCCATTTATGGTAAGTGCCCTAGACAGGTGTACCATTTTTTTATCCTTTATATTGTATTTTTACTATACATTTTCTATGCTTAGATATGTTTAGGTACACATCTACCATTGTGTTACAGTTGCCTACAGTATTCAGTAACATCCTGTATAGGTTTGTAGCCTAGAAGCAATAGGCTATATTAGGCTGCAGTACACCATCTAGGTTTGTATAAGTACACTCTATGATGTTCACACAATGATGAAATTGAGTAAGGACACATTTCTTAGACTGTAACCCTGTTGTTAAGAGATGCATGACTGCTCGTATGGATTAAATTTTGTATATAATTCCATTGGAAAATATTTTTAAACCACTTTGGAAAAATAAACAACATAAACTATTGAAATCATGCAGTTTTCAAAGATATACAGTGCATATCATCTCTTCAGCTTTATTAGTAAAAAACAAATAGGGCCTATACAAAAGCATGTTATTTTGTCTTTCAGTAATTTGCTTTAGTGACTGCTTTCCACAAGATTATTTTTATCTTTCAAGCTTATTGTTTTAAGCAATCTTAATGTGATCTTTGAGGAATTAAATAAAAGTTTATTAAATAAAGTTAGTGGATAGATCATAATTAACTATGATCTATCAACTAATAACGAGTACTTTTCAGCACTTAGTACTGGGATTTTTAACTTTGATCACTTCCTTTTCTCTCCTTTAAATGAAACTGTTAACTCCTACTATCTACATCCTAAAAAAAGGCTCTAAAGAACTATCTTCTTTCTTTGTATGAGATCAAGGAATAGAAGTAGTAATAATAAGAATACTAGTAGTAATAATTTTGAGGGCTTATTACTAAATAGCCTGTAGAATTTACCTGGATATCTTCTTGCAGTTCTCTGATTTGTCTTTGTTTGTACCTGTATTTTTCATCAGCAGCTCTTTTTTGTTCTTCTAGTTGAATTTTTAGCTCATACTCTGCACCTAGAATTTAGAAAAATTTTAATTTAAATTTTCAACATAGTTGGCATGGATGTAGAGAGATAGGAACACTCCTACACTGCTGGTGGGACTGCAAACTAGTTCAACCTCTGTGGAAAGCATTATGGAGATACCTTAAAGCGATACAAGTAGATCTGCCATCTGATTCAGCAATCCCACTACTGGGCATCTACCCAAAAGAACAAAAGACACTCTATAAAAAAAGACACCTGCACTCAAATGTTTATAGCAGCAAAATTCACAATTGCAAAGTGTGGAAACAACCCAAGTGCCCATCAATACATGAGTGGATTAATAAAATGTGGTATATGTATACCATGGAGTACTATTCAGCTTTAAGAAACAATGGGGATATAGCACCTCTTGTATTTTCCTGTATAGAGCTGGAACCCATTCTACTAAGTGAAGTATCCCAAGAAAGGAAAAACAAGCACCACATGTACTCAGCAGCAAATTGGTATTAACTGATCAACACCTAAGTGGACATATAGGAATAACATTTATCGGGTGTCGCGCAGGTGGGAGTGGGGAGGAGGGGATGGGTATACACATACATAATGAGTGCAAGGCGCACCGTCTGGGGGATGGTCACACTTAAAGCTCAGACTGGGGGGGGGGGAGGGAGGGCAAGGGCTATATACATAACCTTAACATTTGTATCCCCATAATATGCTGAAAGAAAAATTTCAACATACTATGTTGAATCAATCAATTTTAAAGTATTACATAAATTAAACATCTAATATTTTTGTTATGAAAAGTTAAGTTTCCTTTATCTCCTTGTAGAAAAACAGTATAAGCCATTTCTTGTTTTGTCAACATAGAGCAGCAGCATAGTACAGTTTTTTTCAGATTTGAAATTAATTATCTAGAGAAGTGATATGCCATGTACCACTAGAACTAATAACAGAAATAATGCCTTAGCAGGCCACTTACAAAAAAGGGAGAGGGGGAGGAAGGGTGATCAGTTTTTGTGACCCAATCAAACATGATATACTTTGTTCTCCATAGTGTTCCTTTTAACTATACAATTATCATTATATATACTTATAAATTTTTTTTAACAATCCTACATACTAGATGGAGTCACTTTTTTAAAAGATTGCTTGTAATTGTTGTTGCAGCTCTTGAGCACCTGCAGGGTGTTTTCTAGAGCATAGATTTCTTTTTCAGCTTTGTTGATCTTAGCATCCAAACTGTCACCTTCCTTTTGAAGTTCTTCTTTTTCTTGAGCAGCCTATTGAAGTATAGAACAGAACTGGTTGAATAAATGTATTGATCATTGGGGAAAATATCTAATGTCTGTATTTGGGGAAGAAAATAGTTAACCTGTAACAATAACAGTTAACCTTTGGGCCTACACATGACACCAAGCATTTAATTCTTGCACTTGATTTAGAGTAAAAGACCAAAGCCTCAGGCTTTCAAAATGTGGCACCTGTTTGGACCCATGTGACCCATGATAGATATGCAATAACTAACCAAAGTTTACAGAAAACTCCAGCAAAAGTTGTCAAAAAGTTATCAGGTATAAACTTGGAAGAGGAACGAGATTAACTAGAAAGAGATTTGTAACTAGACATTAAATCAGAAGAACATTTCTGGACTCAGAGAGATTCAGGAACAATTTCTTATTTCAAATCTTAGTGAACAAGGTACATATTTTACTATCAGGTATATATTTTTAAATTTAAAAAATAATTGTAGGCCAGGTGCAGTGGCTCATGCCTGTAATCCTAGCACTCTGGGAGGCCGAAGTGGGAGGATTGCTTGAACTCAGAAGTTCAAGACCAGCCTGAGTAAGAGTGAGACCCCCGTCTGTACTAAAATAGAAATATTAGCTGGGCATCGTGGTACACAACTGTAGTCCCAGCTACTTGGGAGGCTGAGGCAGTAGGATAACTTGAGCCCAGGAGTTTGAGATTGTAGTAATCTATGACACCATTGTACTCTACCTAGGGCAACAGAGTAAGACTCTGTCTAAAAAAAGAATAATAATTTTTTTAAAAGATCATTGTGATAAATGTGACTAGAAAAGATGAAGTCTATAAACTGCTAAAGACCAAAATTTCTTCCAAGAGTGGACATATTCAGTGACTTTTACCAGGGTAACTCTGTCACTGGGTTAGGCTCTTTAGAGTTATACCCAAAGAATTCCAAAGAACAACTCAGATTAAAGGTTGACAGACAGATAGTGTGTATATGTGTGTGTGTGTGTGTGTTTAAAAATGCCAGAAAACCCATTTTTAGTCAAAACCAACTAACACTTTTATTCAGTCCCTATGTATGTGTATTGAAACCAGAATGTAGTCAATGAGAAAGATAAGTTTTATTAGTAATATTTCAGTTAACATTTCCATTTTTGTTTCTTATGCTTAAAAATGTGAGTTTTTTGTAACATATAATCTTTGTAACATAAAATAAAGCTTAGTAAAGAAAAAAGTTACTAGATAAACTATATCTAATTCCTTTGAGTCTAGAATTGACAACCCTATTTTATCTCAAATATAGTAATGGGACAAAACAAATGAAAACAGATTTTAGCTGTGGGTTGCCTTATCAGTGAGTTGAGTCACATTAAATCACTTCTCTAAGCTCAGTTTCTTCGTATTTATTCATCTTATACAAATTCCTGATCTAATTCCATTGATAACTTGAAGGTCTAAAATTCTGATTCCATTCTCTTCTAAATCGGAGATTATATAATGCATACCTTTAATTTGGATTAGAAAAGCTGGTATTTGGAAGAAATTTTTCTTATTAATACTTCCTGACATTTTAAAGCATTTTCAAGTAACTGTTGGACAGTTTCTTTAAATTGTGGTTAGAACTAGATTGTTTCCTTATAAAGACTAAGAGGAACTTGGAAATGAGATTTGAAAGATATCAGGGCTTCATTGGTTACTAATTGTATTTTTCAGTCTGGCTTTTGTCAGATACTATAAGTTGCTAGGGCTTGTGAAAGGAAAAACAAACCATGTGTGCTCCTCTGGTCCTTCAGTAGACCAGACACTACTGAAAGACCAAAAACAAGGCGGCTATGGGTTGACCTGCATCCCTTAAAAAAAGATATGTTGATGTCCAAACCCACAGTATGCCAGAAGTTGACCTTATTTGGAAATAAGGTCTTTGCAGATATAGTTAAGATGGGGTCATTTAGGTAGGCCCTAACCCTATATAACTGATGTCCTTATAAAAATGGGAACTTTGAACATAGGGATGACTGTGTGAAGAGACACAGGAAGAAAACCATGTGAAGATGAAGACAGGTATCTGGTTGATGCATCTGTAAACTGAGGAACACCAAAGATTGCCAGCAAAGCACCACAAGCTAGAACAAAGTCATAGAACAGTCTCCCTTACCTTACAGGAACCAACCCTAACAACACCTTCATCTTAGACTTCTAGACTCTAGAACAATGAGACAATACACTTCTGTTATTTCAACCACCTACTTTGTGGTATTTTGTTACATCAATCCTAAGGAACTAATAGAAGGGGTCAGCAAGCTTTGTATGTAAAGAGCCAAATAGTAAATATTTTAGACTTTATGAGCCATTCAGTCTATGTCAAAACTACCTGAATCCACCACTGCAGCATGAAAGCAGCCAGAGACAATACATAAATGAATGAGTTTATATATTGTGTCTTACAGTGCTTATTTACAAAACAAGCAGTGGGCAGCATTTGGCCAGAGTCCATTGTTTGCTGACCCCTGATCTACAACATGTAGAAAACAGAACATGTAGAATTTGGCACTGTAACCAAATTCTTCTTTGAGCTAGAAAAGAACTCTTTGAGGAGAATGTAAGAAGGGCATAGGAACAATGTTGGACTGAATTTCAATCCTAAATCTACCACATTGAGAACCAGAATCTACCACACTGAAAACCAGAACCACATCCAAGAACAAGTATCAGCTTCTAATTGACAAGTTTGTTTTTCCCAGCAGTGGAAACTACTAAAGTTTCTTATCTGACTATATTTATATGACTATAATTAGTCAGATAGTTAAAAATTCTCAAAAAAATATAAAATAAACATTTGTCAAATAATTTATTCAATGTATTAATCAAGGAACCAGTAGGATGGTTAGACTAGTTCAAAGGAGAAGTTGAAGAACAAATTTTATAATATGGACACATGAAGTCAGAAATGTTGAAATGAATTTGCTGATGATGCAAAACAGATTAATATCTTTTAGGATAATAAACTTCAATGCTTGATTTATTTTTTCTACAGAGCAAAGTTGTATTTCTATTGGCCAAAATTCACTTGTATTGTTAGCAACAAGAATCACTGTATTATCTACATGTTATCATCTGTACTTACAGAGTTGTATTAATAAAATAAGTTAGTCAATAGAAAGTGAATGGCATGCATGCCTACAGAATCAGATAATCCTTAGAAGGTCCACTAGAAAATGCCAAGACTGATATCACCAAGCAATGGCATCACTGCAACCCAATAATTGCTTTTCTCCATTTTCAGGCCGCACATAATTGTCCTACTATAAACTAGACTGAGTATAGTTATAAAGAAATAAAGTTTCATTTTTACACAGGTGAAACTTGGGTTATGAGTAAAAAACATGCTATACATGTTTAAACATGCTATACAATAAAAAATGGGAATAACTGTGGCAAGCTGTGGATCCCAGAGAGGATGGAAGGTAAAGGAATGTGGCATCAGGAAATTGAGAAAGGTAACTGACATCCTCAATTCATTTAACAGTCATTATATTATTAATAACATTTATCCAGCACTTTCACTGTGAACAGAGAAAATACTCTTTCCTCATAAAACCTGTTTTCCTAAGAAGTAGGTTAATCAGCATCATCATAGCAATGACAATCATAGCTAACATTATTGATGACTTGTGCTAGGCACTATACTAAGGGCTTTACATATATTTTCTCATTTTTCCCAACAAAAGTAACAATATTATCGTCATTTTGCAAGTGAGGAAGCTGAACTTATTCAAGGTCACCTACCTAGTCAGTGTTTTAGTAAAACCAGTATATGGACAAAGGCACTCTAAATACCAATACTTTCAGGTAACCCATCAGCTCTTGTTGGTAGAAAAACTTAATTGGAATTGTAACATCTATTTACTTTCTAAATATTTACATCTAACACACTAGAGATGACCTTTTACCCTCCAGGAACTTTTAAATCCTAGAAGGAAGAAAGTCCCATTAGTACTGGGCAGAAGCCTGAGGTACTACAGACAGACAAGTTACAAGAACGATTTGAGAGCTGGGACTGATTTCTCATGGGTTAGGCAGATTTTCCAGAGGCAAAGTGGCAGGCATACAACACATAGTGTATGTGCTAGAGGCAGATTTGAAGAAGAGCTACAGAAGAAAACTTGGAAGACTAAACAGATAGAAGTCAGAGGGAGCAAGTATCCACAATGGCTATCCTTTGAAGGTAGGAATTGGAAGATCTTCTCATCCTTACCCATGTGTGGTACAGGGAAATGAGTTATAATTTCCATTCCTTGTGTGTGTGTGTGTATATATATATATATATATATATATCTTGAGTAATTTCCCAGACTTTTCTGTAAAAGAAATCACACCTGTTCAGAGGATTTTCTACATGGGAAAGATGAATGTAATAGTACTCAGGAATGAATTTCCTCTTATGGGCTCCTAGGTAAAGATAACCATGGTATGGCAGAAGACAACACTTAAACATCAGAAGAAATAACAGATTCGCCTGTCTCCCATATAGTATGAAGGCAGGGGAGCAGCCCACTTCCTCTCTGAACAGCTGCCTTACCAGGATTATAATGGTAAACCGGAGTTTAAGATTCAGAAGTGGCGTAGCTCCAGGGGATTATAAGGTCCAGGGTGTGGAATGGGAGTAAGTAGCTATAGTGAAGTAAAGCTTTGATCCCAAGATATTCAACAGGTTGTCATATGCATGCTGAAGGCACCCAGAGTGATCACAGTCTTTCGGTGAAAGAGATTATGAATCTTGACTACAGGAGGGGAAAGCTGAGCATGGTTCCTGAGGCCTGTAATCCCAGCACTTTGGGAGTCCAAGGCAGTAGGATCACTTGAGGCCAGGACCTGGAGACCAGCCTGGGTGACATAGTGTGAACTCCGTCTCTACAAAATATTTTTTAAAAATTAGCTGGGCATGATAGCATGCACTTGTAGTCCCAGCTCCGTGGGACATCAAAGCAGGAGGATCACCTGAGCCCAGGAATATGAGATTGCAGTGAAC